TCCAAAAGGCAGCACCACCGTGACCACATTTCCCGGCGGAAACAGTCCATACACCGGCACACCAACCACCGGATTACTAGGAGGCAATGTCACTGATGCTACCGGAACCGGGTTTAACCCGGATTACTCAACTGAAAGCAGCGGTTTCGAGCTCCGTAAATCCAACACTGTCTTCCTCTGCTCGTGTTCTGTCTTCTTGATGATGCTCTGAAGATGATTTCATGTCATTCTCTAGTTACTGTTTTAAGTCAAAAATATGTTATGATGCTCTATTTCTAGTTCAGACTTTTTTGAAATTCCGGTTTTAGGAAAAAAAACAATTAACAATGTAAAACCGAATGGTACGAATTCGGTTTATTATCTTTAATCTTAAGCAACAAATTAAATTAAATTTCCAACTTTTTTTTTTAATTTCGATTTGACCAATTAATAAAAAGCCATGAACAAACTATATTAAGAGTTAACACTTTAATATAAAAGTATCTCGGTTTAGTTCGAATAAATCTGGTTTAGTTCGGTTTGATTCCAGGGAACACTCTGGTTTGATTAGAATGTCCCCCTCATTAGAAAATCTAAGAATCGAAAGAGGATTTTTTTTTCCTTTGATATAAAATGGACTTGGGAGAAATAACAAAACTGTTTCTTCTACTTCAAGAAGACGATCTCTTTCTTCACTTTTTTCAGATTTGTCTGAACCTAAATTTCTTGGCGTAATCAACATTTGAGACCCTAAGAAACGATGGAGAATAATAACAAAAATTCATCTGTAAGATCATCGTTTCTTTCAATTAATTTTGTTTCCCAAGATTCGAGAACAGAGACACACAAAAGAAAAATCTGCGTAAAAAGAATTTTAAAAAGTTGTTAATAGATTTTGTTTTGAACCAAATAATAATAATAATTTAATCTGCGTTCTTTCGTTTTTTTAGTTGATAATCTTGTTTAATACTTTGATTACTCGGGTTTTGTTGGTTCTTGGCTTTCTTTGGTAAATGAAAAAGATGTTTTTGATTTCGACATCGATGAAAACGAAAAGAGATTCAGATTTTAAGTTTATAAAGTTGATCTGTTTAGTTAGATCTGTTTGGAGCTGTTTTATTGATTTACTAAAGAATCTGAATCATATTTGATTAGCTTATATCATATTAGTCTTGATCATCGTGTTTTATTATGAATCAAGACTAAACCAATTGTTTTTGCTTTGATGATTACAAGTTTAATACATATTTGTCGATTAACACTTTAGTTTTGATTTTATTCAATTTTGTTACATAGGAGGGTTGTCAAGTATGTGGGGATATCGGCGTCGAGGAGTCTTTAATGACTTGCTTCAATTGTAGAGAAGCCAAAGAGCATATGTAAGATCATTTTCGTTAAGAGTACTCTTTATTATATATCTATGATTATGATTGTGTTTCATTTCGCTTATGTATTTTTCAGTTATTGCGCAAAGATTCATTTAGGATCCGTCCCAGACATGTGGTTATGTCAAGTGTGCAGATCCTCAACTCGCGTACTACAAATACCGAAGTATGTGGACGACAATGTGAAGGAGGTGCTCCATCAGAAGACTTCGAATGAACTGATGTTGTTAGCACAAACATGTCATGATAAAGGTGATATATATAGTTGGTGTTACTAATTACTTAAATGTAATTATAATGGTTAGTCTATGAACTAATATACTTGAGAAAACTAAA